GCCAATAGATGTGACTTGAGTGGTTGTCCGAAATAAGCAATACAGAATTATTTTTTGTTGGCAACATTATCTTTGAAATAGCGCAGGTACTCTATAAACAGGTCGGTATTTATAAACCCAGAATCAGAAACCATTGCAATGCTTCCCTCAGGTGCATTTGTCGTGACAAAAAAGTCACGATCTAAGGGTTGCATCTTGTGCGAAGTGTGTGGCGGTAGAGTCAATAAGTGAATGCCATTACCACGGCAGAAATTGACTGCAGCCAATAGATGTGACTTGAGTGGCTGTCCGAAATAAGCAATACAGAATTATCTTCTAAAATAGCGCAGGTACTCTATAAACAGGTCGGTATTCATAAACCCAGAATCAGAAACCATTGCAATACTTCCCTCAGGTGCATTGTTTAATAGAAATCCTTGCATTCTTTTTCGAGGAAAGGTGGTAAGAAATTTCCAGTTGCACTCATAGCACATACAAGAGTAATTGTTTGGCCTCTTTCTGCAGAAACGATTTTCCCCACTAGCTTCTTGCCTTCTAATGATATCACCAGTCAAGTCCAGCTAATTTTGTTGATGTATTGAACCGATGAGGTACTTTATTCAATTCTGCATACTCATAAACTAATTTTCGAAGGCCCATCATAGTCATACCCTGATAAAGATCATCACTTCGTTTCAGATATTGATAAATTTCATCCTCTTGTGCCTTCGTAAATGTCGTAGAAAATCTTCCCATACTATCCGCTGTCCCATCTTCCAAACGTTTTTGAAGGGTGCTTTCCGTTAGTCCAACTTGTTTTACTGCTTTTATCTTACTGGTACCCTTCGAAATTAAAAATCTCGCAGCTTCAAGCTGATCATTTGTAACGACAGTTCTATCTGGTGCTTTTCTTTGGTAAATTCGAGGCATTTTTAATATTGAGACAAATTCTGAAACAAAATATTATTTCATCAACACAGTTCATGTCAGAGCTAAAAGATGAGGAGTAAGTGTGCGCATGTGCACACATACACGACAAGAGTCTGTGTATACTTAACCCAAACTGTCATATCGGGATACGACCAAAATTTTTCATGATTACGTCATCTGGGCAATTAAAACATTCGCTCTAATCAAACTACATAAAACGTGGTAATCGAAGATAGTATGGAAGTTTTCAAGAAGGATGTCGACATATATAACATTACATGACAAACTTCACAAAATCACGTAATAATTTATGCAAAAATCTTCACTTACCTCGAATTCAAAATGGCGGGAAGAGCGTCCGCTGTCACACATGCGTATCGTACCGAGTCGTGCGGACTACTGAGAGGAGGAGATCGCGTTTTGTTGTTATATACCATTTTCTAGATATCTAAATTGCGCACACTTACTCGCTGCGTACACTTGCCCCACATGACTCTACTAGCCTGGAAGGCAATGAGGCTGCTGACTCCTTTGCAAAGGAAGGTGCTGTAAACAGCTTCATCGGACCAGAATCTGTCACTGGCATCGCTTTAGGCTTTGCCAAACAAAGATTAAACACATGGATGGCAAGAAGATTTACGAACTTCTGGCAGAATCTTTCAGGATTGGCTCACTCCAAGGCGTTTATTAACCCTTCGAAGCTTGATACCAAACAGTTGTTGGACTGCAGTAGGGATGAACTATGTCATTTGAATCATCATCTGTAGAGACTTGGACTGTCGAAAGATAGTGTGTGTCGCCTCTGTTTGGAAAATGATGAAACAGCGGAGCACATTCTTTGTGCCTGCCCCGCGGGGGACCAAATCAGGTTTCGTTAAGAAGCTGGGTTTATTTGGTCGAGTGTGAATAAATGTAAGCCACAATGAACTCTTACGGGTTGCGGTGGAGGGTCGAATAGACCGACTCACTTTGGACCCAACCTAACCTAACACTAGAGGAAGTTTCTAGGACTTTTTGATAAAAGTGGCAACGCCGCAATGCTGAAAATATTTTAGATCGATAGAACAGGTAAGGAAATGTGAGAGGTGAAATTTCCAGAAAAATCATGCTTTGCGTTTTCCAGAAACGTCTAACCTACCATCGACCGTGAGTCACGCTGTATATAAATGTAGGTAGACATAATATCGAAAAAAAAGGTGAAAAACAGTAAACTGCAAAAATTGGAATTTCGGTGGTTTGACGCGGGAGTCATCATCCCTATCCAGCCAACGTAATTATTTGAAGTTGAAAGACACTCGTACCTATGTGTACTTCTGTAAATTATAGCCATACATAAATATATGTGAAAGTGTTTCAAAAAAGAATGAAAAAGTTAGTATAAAGAAAAAACTTCAATTCAGTTCCAAATAATATATTGATTATAAAAACATGGAATCGTTTATATGTACAAATTGAAATTTGTGTATATTAGTAGTAATATGAACGTTGAAATTGTCATCATCTTCATTCTTCAATCTTCGAATTCTTCGTCGAACGAGTTAGTGAGGACTGTGAAAACTCTAGAAAGTTTAGAAAGTTGTGACTGTCAAAATACTGTTTCTCTGCGATCCTCAAATGATTGTACCTTCGATTTTCCCTACGTTCTCAATCTTTTCGAGGGCCGTTCAATGGATCTGGATCAGTGGAGGAAGTTGAATTTAAATAACGGATTGAATAGTATTAAGATATTGCAAGCTTTCTTTTTTTGAGTTTTCTCCTTGTGGAATATCCAACGGCAACAAATCGTTCATCTCAGCCTCAGTTTCCTCCTCGTCCTGCTGCTCCTCTTACACCATTTCAATGTTATCGCAGGTGTCCTCACAATTTACGCATAAGGAGGAGCAGGATAGACCTGCCTTCCTGCACCCATAATTTCGCTGGCAATTTGTGGTGCACTTGCACAAAATCAGCTTTACAAGCGCAGGTGGAGCTGGGGGAGCAAACGTGATTACTGGCTCTAAGCCTGAGATCGCTTTTTTCCAACCCCACTCCTCAGGGTTTTCTTCCACACCAAGCCAGTGCTGAACCTGGTGGTAGACCGTGAGAGAGTGCTCCCTCGCTGCAGCAGCACTAGGTGGTGAAGCTGCTACGTTTCAGTTGAGCGTGAACACTGCCTTGATGAAAGAGATGAACCTCAGGTGGTTGAGTGTGGGTGTGGTTTTCCCTGAGTAACCGTACAGAAAACGTTCTACTGCTTCTTGGGAGGCGTTGGAGTTTTTGAAAATGTTGATCACCTTGCCGAGGCTGGGGTTCTTCACAAGCGTATTTAAAAATTTCGTTTTTCCTTGCCTCAAGAGGGCAGATGTCGTATCGCACCCGCTTTGAAAACTTATCATTCCATTGAGGAATTTCCCGTTAGCTTTTACTGCTTTCACCATAAAACTATTCAGTAAAGGTCATTTGCCTACTGGATGAATTAGCAGATTGTTGCATAGAAAAGAGTTTCAGTTCTTGGTTTCAAATTATACCTGTAAAAGGTAACCGAACTTTAAGTGGGGAAATCCTTTAAAATGTATTAAATTTCACTTAAACAGTTACCGACAGTTGTGATAGGAATCAAGAATTTTTCTACAAGACAACTTAGTGTGAGTTTAACGAATAATTTCTTCAATATTGCATTCCCGTGTCAATTCGTCAAAAATTCCGATTTTTGGAGTTTTGGGGGTTTTCCCTCACTTTTAGCGTTCTTCCATGGTTCAATGATTGACCGTAGAAAAAAACTTCAAGAACATAAAATGTAGGAAATTTCATTTTCTTCCTTTTTATATAGAAAATATGTCCACACAAAATGCGTAGTTTTCAAAGTGATGTAGTAGGCCATTCCATGATACCTCTCCTGTCTACTGACAATTCACCACACAAGAAACTCTACGTTCAAGAATTGACAAATAGCATATCATTCTGATAAAACAAGCATTGAATTAGAAACAAATATTGAATATCAGATTCAATTTATGAGTTGCCACATCGCTGAAATATTCATAGAATCAAAGGCGGCCGTCGAAGTCATCTTCGTTAGTTTCATCCATTAGTTTCATACGCATGGTATACTTTTGAGTTGCTTCAAAATTCCAAGGGCAGTACTTCTGCACGCGGTGACGGACCATCAAAAATCTCAGTTATTTGGGGAATAATTCGCCAGTGTTCACCAGGTTAAATCCGATGACTGTGACCACCACAGAGAAATGTCTAACTTTTCTAATGGCATAATAAGTAGACCGGCTCCAACAATACCGGAGCCCAATCTACTCAAGTGGATCACAGACGTCGAGGAGGTGATTGCGACTATCAAGCGCCTGGGGAAGAACAAAGCCCCAGGTATTGATGAGATTGAGGCAGTTCTACTGCCTAACCTGCCGCGAAAGGGTCTCGTACAGCTAGTACACATCATAAACGCGATTATCAGACACAAACATTATCCAGATTGTCTGAAGCATGCGGTTTCCCATCCATAAGACTGGAAAACCTAAATCTCTTATGAATAGTTGTCGTCTGATCTCACTAATCAGTTCGATGGTGAAGGTCATCGATATAATTCTCTTGAGTAGACTTTTCCAACTGGAAGACAGGATAAATCCGGAAAGCCTTCGGTAGAGTTTGGATAGAGATATTTGTCGCCAAAATGTGGTTGGCAGGCATGCCCTCATTTGTAATTAGGATTATTTTATCCTATCTGAGCTATCGAACTTTTCGCGTACAAGTGGATCAAACCACATCTGCGAATTATTCAATCAAAGCAGGTGTCCTGCCAAAAGATTTGAAATTGAAATTGACTATGACCGTATGAACATCTGGCATATTAAAAAATGCAGTTTCCAAAAAAAATTGTTTTCTATGATTTTTTTTGGAACCAGCTATGTCCTCCCCCATATATGCGAACTACAATCCCTAAAATACGGAACGTGTGCAAGCGAAGGATCAACGTGATTCCCATCACGAATCGGATGCTCTGCAGTGAAAACCTATTCACCCAGAGTGGAGATGGATATTGCGTTCACGTTAGTAGTTTTTAGAATTGATGGAACTTACTATTTACGCAAACTTTCTAAACATCACTTAAAGATATAAATTGTTAGATTACTCACCCAGTACAAAATGGCTGTCCATCCCTCCATAGTAATACACTGAAAAACAGTGAGCATTGCGAACCCAATATTATCGAATGATGTAATACCATTATTTGGACCCTGCCATCTCTCCAAGCATACCGAATTCCCATCTCGACACCAGTTACTTCCTTGGTTTTTTGCTTGTGTTTCATTGTCCGTATTGCACGGTACTGCTTCTTCGCCTTCTTTCACTATTTCATCTGAAAACGGTATATTTTTCTCATTCTGGCAATAGCAACAAATATTTTACAGCAAAACCGATAGAATTGGAGAACAATGAATATAAAACAACCCTACAATCGATCTCCAATCCAGTTGAATACGCCGGAAAAACTTATTAAAATTCAACTTGGTTTCATGTTTCACTAATCTCTTGACTGAATTTTCAGAATACATACATTCTGACTTGTCCTATGCCATATAAACAATTAGAACTACAGAAGAGTTAGTTATTTGTGGATCTAACATTTATTCAACTGATAAAAATCAGAAGAAAATTTTCATTTTCTCGTCAAGATTTTAATAATGACCTGTATATTTTTTATACATTTTGGTAGTCACTGTAATTACAAATTCATTGATATGTTACAACATATGTATTTCTCGAAGTTTTTCCCGAAAACACATCATTAATATTCTACAATTTTTTATAAGGGCTCGAATTTTCGAATGTTACTGATATCCAAATAGAGCGCTCTCGTCGGTGATGTCGTTCATTGAGATCCTAAATATTATATTCACTGAAATCCAAATATCAGGGTTAAGGTATGTTTTCCTAGCGACGTGTTTTTCGCGCAGCAGGAACTGGGTTCGTCCTAATCGCGTCGGCAGGGTCGTGAAACTTATCACGCGGCGTTTTAATGTTTTCCTAAAGGTAGGTTTTCCTAGCGATGTGTTTTTTACGCATCAGGAACCGGGTTCATCCCAATTGCGTCGGCAGGGGCGTGAAACTTATCACGCGGCGTTTTAATGTTTTCCTAGCAAAGCGTGCTTATCTGTTCAGTATCTCGGGTGTGTCATTATGAAACGAATCCAAAGAAGAAAGAAAATTATTGTAATGAAAAATGATGAAGAAATTTAGAAAAGAAAAAAATCACTTTTATAAAAATCGGGAAAACAAGGGGTTTGAAACCCCTCGATAGTAATCTCATTGATGGAGAAAAACAGTTCAGAAGGTATTTTAGGCTGTCCCGCATACGTTTTGAACCTTGTAGAAGAGGAACTGAGAATTACACCTGCAGAAAAATTGGCTTTGACTCTGAGGTAAGTGGACAGATCAATAACATTGAGAAAGAGACCATAACATTTATTTTCGTGTTACACGCGAAATTTGAAAAAGAAATAAGTGAATTTCATAAAAATCTTGTAATACACAGAACAAGACTCTGAAAACCACAAAAAAATAGCATAATTATATAAAATGTATTAGTTGAATGATGGTTCAAACTCCATTTGAACACGACCGATGCCAATGATAGGTTCTGGTCCGATGCTTGCAGTGCTTGCAGCACCCTCCTTTGCAAGAGAGTCAACAGCCTCATTGCCTTCCAGGCCAGTATGGCCAGGAATCCAGACCAGAGACAATCCGTTAAGTCTTCCTATCGAGGAGGGTCGTTTTTGGTAATTTTCTACCAATTTGGACGTCGCTCGGTAGGAGCCAAAAGCTTCCAACGCCGCTTGACTATCCGAGAATATTTTTATTGACTTGTGTATGAGTTTGGATTCTTCTAATCTCTACGCACACAATTCAATAGCGTATATTTCCGCTTGAAATACAGTCGCATAAGTTCCTAAGCAGGTTGATATCTCTGTCCTGGGTCCAGAACCCGAAGGTGTTTTTGAACTATCTGTGAACCAACAACTATCTGCTCCTAATATTTCCTTCCGGAGGATCCAATCCTCTCTACTCGGGAGCAATACATTATAAGGCAATTCGTAGTTGATAGTTGGAGGCATAAGGTCAGAGGTCATTTCCAGAATGCTGTGACTTCCAGTGTCAAGCAACAGTCTGTTGCACTCTACATTAAATTGGTTTGTACAATTGGCAATATGCACAAGTCTATATTCAGTCTATCTAGACTCTCTCTCTCTCTAGTAAAATGTGGAGAGGAGGTAGATCTGGAAGTATCTCCATGGCCGCTGACGCTGCTAAAAGCACGATAGTACCTAAGGTGTTGGCTGTCCTCCAAAAAAAGTTTATGTCTATTTCTGTCCCCTGCTAACTGCATAGAATGGGAACAGAAAGCCAAGGAGTTTTGGGAGCGTTGGGTTTTTCCCATTGATAGGAAGCACAGCTCTGGCCTCATCAGAAAGTCACTAATAAGTCTCAGACAAAACCTGGCAGTCGGTCTAGCACGTTGAGCGCATCACGACGGCGTGGAACGCGTTGCGCTCTTAAGGAAAACAGTCCTATTGGATTCCTATGTAGGAGTAGGTAGGGCTTTATCTTTAAAAAGAGTGACCAATAATCTTTGTGTCAATACCAAACCATTCATAATTTCCAAATGTCTCTTGAAAATTTGTAACAACCCAAATATCTCTGTTCAGAAAATGAGTAGGTATATCAAGAAGAATTAACTGATAAAAATACTGTATCAAAAAAGTCAAAGATGATATTCAGGAGAAAGTGATAAGCGATAATTTCTTTTTTTGGAAGGACATGAAATACATGAGCATGAATATCAAGTTAATTGCCAAACACTACATAAAATAGTTATTCAATTTGGTGAGCTATTTTTAGAAAAAAACATGAATTTTTCCAGTAACGAAAAAGTGGATATGCGCTTTTTGTTTATTCGAGATGTTTGAGAAATGCTTCCATATCTCTGGCAATACAGAGCCGCACTATAATAGACTTTCCCTGCCCACAACAACGATGGTAAATGATTCATTAATATACAATATAAGGAATCCTGAACGACGACAACCTAATCATAGATATTTTTAACGCATCGAAAATAATTTCATGAGCTACACCTTATGATTACAAACTTTATTTTCCAAAGATATATCATGACATATTTCGCTATCATAGTAGTTTTTTGCAGTGAATGACAATACCTATATACTCTGATTTTTATATCCTCCTCATAATTATAAGGAGGACTGTCCCAGGACTGTCCCAACTAAATTACTACTGGATTACGATAAGCTCCTTGCCCGCAAGTGTCGTACCTATTATTTATTAGTTTCAAATGGGGTAGCAAATGGCACATAACTTCTTTGTATTTTTCTATTGTTCATTCAGTATTATAGGTAGTAGTATAGTTCATTATAGTTCATTAAAATATTATATAATGATACACTTATTCAAAAATAAACAACAATGCCAAACGCCAAGAGCATTGGAGGACAAGTAATGATACGCCTCTGTACAGAGCATTTATATGTCTTCCAAGAGCTGTAGTAGGGGTTACATTGAAAATGAGTTTGTGCGCATATGAGCGGGTTCGTCATAACGTTTTGTGCTTGCTGTACCTAACTTTAATAGAGCTGAGGTACATCCCCAAATTATAATTATCTAAAGCATATTATATTAATTCTACATCAATTTTTAAGAAAACAAATTCAGTAATGGTGATCTATTCAAATCCAATTGGTCATTCAGTGAAGTGTTTGAATTTTTTAGTTCAATAATTCTCATTACTTCCAAATAATCGAGCTTCAAACCTTTATTTTCAATTCGTGGACTTTTAAAATCTCCGTTGAAGATATGATTTTCTTCTAAGAGATAATTTGAATATGTTGAACTTGTTTTCTCATTTACGTAGCTCATATGTTCTTGAATGCGATTCCCAAATGTTCTGCCAGTTTGACCACTACATAGCTTAGAACAAGTTCCACAATTCAATTTATATAATCCTGATTTCTCGAAATTGGATGTTTTGTCTTTTTTATTTGAAAGTAACATTCCCAACGTATCACCTGTTCTATATGCAATTTCAATGTTTTGTTTAATATCACTTTTTCTGTTGTTTGACCAAAATATGTTGAACTTTTATATTTTTGATTATGTTCCTTACCAGTTGGAAAGACCTACCGAGATTACTCATAATTCGGCCATATCCATTAAGTATGTACGTAAATTTTAAAGGAAAATGAATTTGAGCCTTATCGAGTCAGGAAAGTCCATTTGCCTTTGACGGACTTCAATAGGAGAAAAGTTTTTTGTAGATGGCTCATTAAAAGATTTCGTCAAAATAATGAAATTTGCAAAAAAAATTGTGGTGTGATGAAAGTAGATTTACCAATAATGTTTACAATAACATTATAACAGGTGACAAGAAAATGAACAGTTACATAGTCACCAATTTTCAAGAGAAATACAGTGTTGACGTATGGCTTGTTGTTTTCGATAATGAAATTATTGACCTCCACTTTTTTTTAAACATCTCTGACCGAAGAATTTTATTTGAACGTTTTATCAGGGATTCTAATTGAGTTTAGAATATTTGCCACTTAGCCTAATAAGAAAATATGAGTATTTCCAACATGACGGAGCTCCACCACACCGCAGTAGGATGTGCAGAGATTTCCTCAATACAACTATGCCAAAAAGATGGATAGGAAATAATGGTCTTATTGAAAGACCACCACGTTCACCGGACCCCTTTTAGATCTTTCGTTGTGGGATTTCTTAAAAGATGAAGTTTTCATTGAGGAATTGGAAGATTCAATCAGGAGAGCCTGCATGGCTATCGCTCCACATATTTATGTTAGAGAACTGCCACAAGTACACAGATGGATCCAAAATACCTTCCGGTTATGGTGCAGGTGTTTTCAGTCGCAGACCCAGGACAGAGGTATCAACCTGTCTAGGAACCTATTCGACGGTATTTCAAGCGAAAACTTACGCTATTGAATTGTGTGCGGAGAGATTGGAAGAATCCAACCTCATAAACAAGTCAATAAAAATATTCTCGAACAGTCAAGCGGCGTTGGAAGCTCTTGGCTCCTACCGAGCAACGTCTAAATTGGTAGGAAATTGCCAAAAACGATTCTCCTCGATAGGAAGACTTAACAGATTGTCTCTGGTCTGGATTCCTGGCCATAGAGTCATGTGGGACAAGTGCGCGCACTTAAGCTTTATGTTGCTATAAAATCGAAAATTATGAGTAAAATAAAACAAAATGAGGCTAATCAGAGAGTTTTTATTAATCTACGAAATTATGAACAGAACAAACTTTGTCTGTCACACAAATAAACGAAAAAAATCAAAACAAAGGTAATCAAAATGCGTACACATAACCCAAAGTACGGGTAACTGTGCGCTTTCCTGGGGGTATGTGTGCGCAAATTAAAATTGAGGTAATTATGAATTATTTTCTCTAGTATGACTAGGAAATAATGTTATAGAAAGACTACAACAATAAAAAAAGTATAAATGAGAATGAGATCAATCAACAAAAACGGAAATTACTCATTGCAATGGTCACATACAAAATTGCCTTCCTCAAAGCTGGTAGATTCTTCATGCCACCAAATTTCACAAACGCTGCATTGAATCCAGTCTTCATTCGGAGGATGAATATATTTTTCGCCACACAGGGGACATAAGTGGAATGACCATTATTATCAGTGGATGTCAGTGGATGCTTCCAATAATTGAGCTATTTCTGTTAGCCCAATTACACGGCCTGGGTGGTGACTAAGCCATTTGTCACATTCATAGGCGAATTTGATTTTCAAGGGTCCAAAAAAGTCACGATCTAAGGGTTGCATCTTGTGCGAAGTGTGAATGCCATTACCACGGCAGAAATTGACTGCAGCCAATAGATGTGACTTGAGTGGTTGTCCGAAATAAGCAATACAGAATTATTTTTTGTTGGCAACATTATCTTTGAAATAGCGCAGGTACTCTATAAACAGGTCGGTATTTATAAACCCAGAATCAGAAACCATTGCAATGCTTCCCTCAGGTGCATTTGTCGTGACAAAAAAGTCACGATCTAAGGGTTGCATCTTGTGCGAAGTGTGTGGCGGTAGAGTCAATAAGTGAATGCCATTACCACGGCAGAAATTGACTGCAGCCAATAGATGTGACTTGAGTGGCTGTCCGAAATAAGCAATACAGAATTATCTTCTAAAATAGCGCAGGTACTCTATAAACAGGTCGGTATTCATAAACCCAGAATCAGAAACCATTGCAATACTTCCCTCAGGTGCATTGTTTAATAGAAATCCTTGCATTCTTTTTCGAGGAAAGGTGGTAAGAAATTTCCAGTTGCACTCATAGCACATACAAGAGTAATTGTTTGGCCTCTTTCTGCAGAAACGATTTTCCCCACTAGCTTCTTGCCTTCTAATGATATCACCAGTCAAGTCCAGCTAATTTTGTTGATGTATTGAACCGATGAGGTACTTTATTCAATTCTGCATACTCATAAACTAATTTTCGAAGGCCCATCATAGTCATACCCTGATAAAGATCATCACTTCGTTTCAGATATTGATAAATTTCATCCTCTTGTGCCTTCGTAAATGTCGTAGAAAATCTTCCCATACTATCCGCTGTCCCATCTTCCAAACGTTTTTGAAGGGTGCTTTCCGTTAGTCCAACTTGTTTTACTGCTTTTATCTTACTGGTACCCTTCGAAATTAAAAATCTCGCAGCTTCAAGCTGATCATTTGTAACGACAGTTGTATCTGGAGCTTTCCTTTGGTAAATTCGAGGCATTTTTAATATTAAGACAAACCCTGAAACAAAATATTACTTCATCAACACAGTCCATGTCAAAGCTAAAAGATGAGGAGTAAGTGTGCGCATGCGCACACATACACGACAAGCGTCTGCGTACACTTAACCCAAACTGTCACATCGGGGTACGACCAAAATGTTTCATGATTACGTCATCTGGGCAATCAAAACATTGGCTCTAATCAAACTACATAAAACGTGGTAATCGAAGATAGTATGGAATTTTTCAAGAATAATGTCGACATTTAAAAGATTACATGATAAACCTCACAAAATTACGTAATAATTTATGCAAAAATCTTCACTTACCTTGAATTCAAAATGGCGGGACGAGCGTCCGCCGTCACACATGCATATCGTGCCGAATCGTGCGGACTAATGAGGGGAAGAGATCGCGTTCTGTTGTTATACCATTTCCTAAATATCTAAATTGCGCACACTTACTCGCTGCTCGCTTACACTTGCCCCACATGACTCTAGTAGCCTGCAAAGCCCTTGCAAAGGAAGGTGCTGCAAGCAGCTTCATCGAACCAGAACCTGTCATTGGCATCGCTTTAGGCTTTGCCAAACAAAGATTGAACACATGGATGGCAAGAAGATTTACGAACTTCTGGCGGAATTTTTCAGGATTGGCTCACTCCAAGGCGTTTATTAACCCTTTGAAGCTTGATACCAAACAGTTGTTGGACAGTAGGGATGAACTACGATGTCTAACAAGCCTTCTTCGCATGGGAATTTACTACGAGTTATTATTTCGTTACATTATCTTTCGTATCTGTTTCCTCTTCAATGTGGTGTATTACTATGTGCTTGCAACGATATTTAGAAATTTGATTTCTTATTGAAAAAAAGTTGAGTGATGGAAGTTTGATGGAGTATTTTCTCAAAGAAACGTCGAGAAATACATGTGTTGTAATATGTCAATAAATTTGTAATTACAATGACTACCAAAATGTATAAAAAACATACAGGTTCATATCAAATAATGGATTTCAATGAACGAAACGTCGCATTGAAACATTGAAACATTGAAACAGATTTTGAAAAACATGAAATAAAGCAGAACGGTCTTTTATCATTTTTCGATATTATTGAAAATGGAGGCGGTAGAGCACAAAAATAAAATCTGCCATTTTCAGTTTTTTGCAAATATTTCAGGATCGGTTGGTGATTTTGTCGACCTATGTTGCATTCCTAAAAAGGCAACATCTGTTCTATTCAACCGTTCTTGTAGGACCTACCGTTTCCAATATAGCAATAGTGGTATCAGCTAAAAAAAACTATGACTATAGGGCTTCATTTCACTCCAAACTATTCAAATAACTTCAAATAACATAAATACCATTAATACTCACCTATATTATAAAGGCTATAACAAGTTCTATGTAAGGCACCAGAGTAGAATTCCAACCCTATGATTGCAAATATAACGATGGCGAATAAAACCAGTAATCCTATCTGAAGCAGAGGCGCCATGGCTTTGATGATGGATTTCAAAACAACTTGTAGACCTATACAAATAATCATCTTTCATCAATATATTCATATTGTAGTAAAAGTAAAGCAGTTTGATCGATATTTGACGAATTTTCATTTGATGGTTCATACCACTATAGTCATCAGTATATTAGTCACCTCTTCTGAAGTAGCAGAAAAAAATACCCGAAAAAAATGTTTTCAAAGTATTTGGTTGATGCGATTAGACATAGTGACGATAAAATCTCCTAACTGAAATGACACTCCAAATTATAACAATTTGTTCTTAGTCAAAATTGTCAACCTGGTTATTGATTTCAATATATTCATATATCAATATTCGAATATATCACTATGTAAGATATTCATTTGCCGGGGGGATGGTATAAAAAATGTTCATTTATAATTAGAAAAATTAGAATATTGAAGGTTATAGAAAATACTAAAAATAGATGTTACTCATTAAAGTACTTGGGAGTGATCTAATAGTTGATTGATAACCAATGTAGATGTGTAAATGAGGATTCGTATCACTCCAATATTGACAATTTTGCCGATTCACCTCTCCATTCAAACTAAATACATGCATCCGAAAAACAAATTTTATACAAGAAATTCTGATGCAAGTTGATCCGTTCAGTGAGACTTTAACAAAACTCGATACGTCTATCGAAATCATCTTCGTTCAATTCATGAACTAGTCTAATATTATATGGATGAAATGTGTACTCATGAAGGATCCTGAAAACATTTTACGACTGATTCCTGATTCTCGAGATAACTTAGTAAGAGATTGCGAATTTTCCATTAGTCCAACGTGCCCTAAAACTGCAGTACAAATAGCTTTATCGTTGACAACTCCTGAATGGTTATGCTTTTTATTGTTTAAAGATCCAGTTTCCATAAATTTGTTCAATAATTCCGAAACGTATTTGTGTCGTACATTTTTTTCTGAATGATTATCATTAAACATACGGGAGCAGCTCTAGCTACCATTCTACCATACTACCATTCTGATAGTACAAACTATTTCAATCCGTTCTCGAAGCGTATAAACCATTGCTTCTCAAGAATTCACAAAAACAGAAACACCAATTGTAACTTCACCGCAAATACAAAATGAAGAGAATATCGATTCAAACTTAACTAGGCAAAATAAGACTTTTTTGAAGTATACTTCACAAAAACACCTATGAAACCTAGGTAACAGATTGTAAGAAAGTTCATTCAGGGTGGCTCGTTTTCAATTCAAATAATTTTTAGCTTTCAAACTATGAGCTTTAGACCATAATGTATTCTACTTTATTGAGATCTGTTCATCATGGAACATCTAATAATGCAAAACAATTGATCCATTTAAAAAAAATGGTGACCTGCTCGGGGGGGTGCGATGGGGAAAGTTAGATCAACTGTGAATATGTCAAAATGTGTTCCCCTGTATACTATCGTTGAGGTGTTTTTTTATTTTTGACGAAAATGATTGTTCCAAAAGTAATTCAGGATGGCTCGTTTTCAACTCAAATAGTTTGTAGCTCCCGAACCAATTTCAAACTATGGACTATAAATTTTTCTAAAACGAAATATTTAGCCTTTTCAGTGAATAACGAAAACTTACGCGGTCTTCAACCCCTTGAAATCAGAGGTGAAAACAGCTACAGAAATAGAGTATCTCGGTGTAATGATATACAATCATTTAAAATGGAACTTACACATCAGGAAGTTAGTGCAAAAGATTCTAAATTGAAATATTTCAGAAACATTCTTGAAGAAAAACATCTCTTAATGCTGTATTGCGCATTAGTGAAATCCCAACTGAGATATGGTATACTAGCTTGGGGAGGGGCATATAATAACATTATAAAAAAATGTTGAAAAAATTCAAAAATGGATTTTGAAAATAATATTCCGAAAACCAACAACCTACCCATCAGATGACCTTTACAGGCTTGGCAATATCTTAGATGTAAAACAAATATTTCAATTGACACTTGTTGTTGACTAGAAAAAAAACCGGAGCAAAATATTTCTAGATTATTCCTACTCCACAAGGTCAAAAACATTTATCATTTCAGTTCCACATGTGACTAAAACTATATCCCAGAGATCTAGCATGTTTCTTGGGCCAAAGATATACAACGATCTACCAAATGAACTGAAACAACTAAACTCATTATCTCTGTTCAAGAAGAAGCTGAAATTATGGCTGACTTCAAAATCAAGAATTTCAACACATCGATTAGTCGATATAAAAAATACATACTATGATTGATNGATTTTGTAACAAAAGAAGGTCTGTATTTTTTTCGCTATTTATGAATAAACATTATTATTATTATTATATGTTTTATACTTTGTTGAAATCTGCTAATCGTGGAACATCTGATAATACGAAACAATATAGGGTGATCCATTAAAAAAGATTGGTGACATGGTGAATATGCTAAAATGTATCCCCCTGTATGATATGGTTGACATGTTTTTTATTTTTCCTGCAGATCATTCTACCAAAAGTTAATCATGGTAGCTCGTTTTGAATGGAATCCACTGTATAATTCTATGACGTAAAACAATATTTCCAGCTTTCAATTCCATATTTTCATTTTCCACAACTGTAATGGTGTTAAATGGAAACTTATACTTCAGATATTCATTTCATTTATTTGTTTTGTTGACTTTGATTTGATGACTCTGAAACTCTACACCCCTTTGGAATTTAAAGTTTCATTTTTTCTTGAATTTTTATGAATCAATCGATCAAATTACTATACTCCTAATATTTCATAATCATTATTGTTCAAAGCGGAAATGTCATGAAAAACTATATCTGTAAAGTTGATTTGAATTACTTCAATACATTTGAATTGGACATCAAATATGAAACTATTTCAGTCACTCATGGGATTCATCAACATTTTGTATATTCACTTCTATCATTTTGATATATAAATTCAAATCAGGTCATTTTCACTTTGAGAATAGAACTTTTTTACCAATTTATCTTCCTCAATGAATGATAAAATTGATATTGCATGTTGATGAATGCCTTAATTTTTCAAAAAGTAGATTATATCAAAATATTATGAAAATATCCAAAAGGCATATCTATAAATCATAGTACCAGATGTACACATGTGAGTAAATGAAGCTTGAGGAAAGGAGTGGAAGTTTTTCTACATTCAATCTACTTACTAGGTATGCCAGAGACTAGCTTCAGAGGTCTTAGCACTCGAATAGCCCGCAACGCGCGGGGATCCATCACAATGTAATCTTGAGGAAACATCGTGAGGAACCTGCAAAAATCTAGCCTCTAGCGAATGCACTATACTAGACTAATCATCTAAACTACTTTATTTAACTCTATTTCTAAAAATCTAAATATGCACACCCTAAATTCAACAGTAATATTCAAACAAGTTGTTCAGAAAAAAACTCAAAATTGGATTCCATAAGTATCAATCAACTGGATATAGAAATTCAACTACATCAATCAAACTGTTCAAAAAATAGTTTCATTGATCAGAATTCGATTGGTAAACAATCAACAACAATTTCAACAAACCAATTTCAACAAACCAATTTCAAGAGGGGAAATCATTTTGGTTCGATAAATATATCATCGTTTACTTCCTCATGTATAGAAATCAGTTGAAGTTTCCTTAATATGAATGAAAGAAAAACCAGAATCGAACGTGATGGTTTTTATGGTAATTTCTTCTCAGAAGATTCATTATAATTATGATAACCTTAAAATACGGAGGGGTCGTCAGCATCATTTTTATTCACCGGAAGGACGAAGATTGAAAGATGCAATATCCATCAAATCTATTAACACATCAAAATGAGTTTATGCCACATATAAAACATCATGTTTATCAAATTATTCACATAGATCAGCAGAAAGATCTAACAATTTGTCCAGAATGATTCAATCAGGCACATTCATTTTGATTTCCATTGAGACCATTCGCATCTTTTGTCATTAGAGGTCTATAATTTGTCACCAGCTAGGATGGTAATCATCTGTTCAAAATCATCATTCATATTTGATACTAAGCTCATTAGGAAAAAAAAGTAGATATCGATATGTCGTTGTAATATCATTAATCTTTTAGAGTTTCTTCATTCAATTGGAAGTACATTTTCTCCTATGATTTGTGAAGCTACAATAAAAAGTAAATTAGTATTACCTTGCAATTTTTCTAGAAAAGTTCAAATCCCCAAACATGATATGTGAACCGTTATTCAGTTATTCATTCTAGCTACCTAATATACATAACTACTCTTCAAGACTAATCTAGTCTGCGCTACATGATCAGCGGTTGGGTAAAACTCTAAACATCAAGAAATCATGGTAGCTGTAGATATAAAGGTGTCGATCATGTTGGCCCTTACTTGGGATCCTGGAGACTAATTTGAGAGGCCTCAATACGCGAAAAGACCGCAGCATCCGAAGATCTACATCGACATTCGCCTCCGCAAAAACCGTCATCGACCTTATATATCAAAATCAAATAACAAATATACAATTCAACTGAGGTTTTGGTATGGAATATCATATTTCACTAAGGAAAGAAATTGGTATATACCTGTGATGTACTCGAGAAAATATTCATAATACATACTGATGAAATTTTCAAATGAGAGAACAGCCATTTCTCAAACATTCCAGACCTGACCCCTATCCACTCATTCATATTGTCTACTGATAACGCCTCTACTCGCTACGTATTAGGTGAATTTATATTATTTGATCATGNCCCCATATTATGGAGGTGTTTCCTTAATTGACAGCGTCCAGTCAGAAATCCTACTGTAAGGCGTAGATTTTTCCTGGTCATCGCCAGATATTTCTTCGGCGCCAGCTTCCCAGGGTCGCTTAGGGTGATCCTGAAGATTGCATTCTTTGATCTCATCCCATCCCTTTAGGGATTGATCATAGGGGTGACGTTTGGCTAGTTCCGCTATTGTCGAAGTCATCAGGCCGTAAGTACCACTGGATCCTAAAATTCTTTGTCCAGCCGCTTCCTTGGCTAAAGAGTCGGTAATGCGATTACCTTCACTCCTATCGTGCCTTTCAAATCACCTCAGGATAATGTTATTATCTAACGAGGCTTTGGCTAAATCTTGGTGGCACACTAGTACTAGCCCTGAGTTAACACGTTATCTGTTTAAGGCTCATAAGGCTTGTCTGCTATCAGTGCAGATTGTTATGTTTTTGCCAGAAATTCCTTTCCTGGTTATTTCTTTTGTGGCGATTGATATACCGGCCAGTTATGTTTGAACCACGCTGGTATTTTTTCCCATTCCCTGAGCCTTCTTTGGTTTTTGAGCCATCTGTATATATGCGTATTGCATTTTTTGTAGCATCTGACTCTGTGTTCTGTTTTATTTGTATTTTGTAGGATTTATTAAACATGAACCTGGATTCAATTGCATCACTGTGGTTTCCTGCAGCAGAGGTTGCGCAGTAAGCGATTCTCGCCATAGGCTCGTAACATGGCCATTAATGCAACCTCCTTAACGTACAGGTCCAGAGGGATCAGAACAGTAATTACTTCCATTGCCGCGGTTGGTGTTTTTCTCATGGCTCCTGTGAAGCCAATCGCTGTATTCGATATAATTTTTGGATAGCCGTTGCTTGTAGAACTTTCGGTCCCCATGCAATGGCTCCATACGTTAACATAGGTCTTATTATTGCATTGTAGATCCAGGTGACCACACGAGGTGAAAGACCTCGTGCGCATTCCACTGTCCTCCGACATTGCCATATACGTTAAAAAACGTGATTTAAGATTTGTCTCGTCTGAAGATTCGAAGTCATAATCTTGCGTGAGAAGCGATGCGTGTGTTTTAGTTTTCAAAAGTTAAAAAATATGTTGAGGCTTTGAAAGCAAGTGTTTAAACACCCAAAATATCGTAAAGTTCACCTTATGGATGATAAATTTATATGCATGTGAAATTTCATTTCTCTTCCATATATTCAAAGATTCGGTCTGTCTTCCTTGGAGCAACGTAGAGTTTCATCAAGTGTTGTTATGTTATACAAAATTTTGCATTGTTCCATTGATGCACCCTCGTTACTAGAACAAATCAACTTCAACGTATCTCAGCCTACTACACGTAGACATATCACTTTCTATACACCTTTTACTAGATCCAACCTTGGACAAATGTCTTCTATAAATTAGATGTGTGAAAATTATAATACCCACTGCAGTCAATGCGATATTAATTTCGATCCACTGAAGACCACATTATCCAAAATTGAACAAACCATCATCTAGCTTACTGTCTTCATTTCATGCTATTTACAAATAATAATTAATAATATGTCATCTTTTTTTCCTAATTCTATCATATATATGAATTTATTTCTTAATTTGTCAAATCCTTACTATGTCAATCTTTTATTATAAATTTAGTTTGAGTAGCCTTTATTTATACTGCATTATTATATTGTCCGGTAAATGGATTCATCTGTTGGGCAATAAATTTTGTTTTTCTTCTTTCTTTGTTTTGGAAAATTGAATATGAAAGTTGTCTTCATATACTGCTCATATACACTTCAGCAAATATTGGGCAAACCGAAAGACAAGACTTTGTAAAAAAAAACTTATATTCACGAAATAAACTGTGATGATTGCGATGGAAAATATTTCGATTTCATAGACTATAGAAGTCCAATGTAACTCAACATGCTATAGAATACTACAGATAATGGCCACAGAATAAACGAGAAATGCCTGAAATTGATGATGAAGATTCCTATCAAAGCAGGGGAATGTTCACACTCTTACATAATTACGAGTTCGCGGTTTGCCTACATTTTTGGAGTGTTATGTGCACTTATGTGATTTTCATCCTTCACACTACACTCCAACAACCATTAGTTTTGCAAGGACAACCTGGAGTTGGTTTCAAATTAATTTCCGATGAAAACTTTGATGTGGAAAACTAACACTTGAAGAATCTAGTAGAAGTAATCGTACTTTCTTTCTGGCTAATTTCTCTTCTTTTCCCTTTTTCTTTTTTTCCAGCGCCAACTTGTAAGGGCTTTCAGTAGCATTTATAAACTTCGTGCCTTTTTTTCCTCTGTTTTGTAAAGTAGCCTTAGGCAATGGTTGGATAGTCAACAATTGGAAGCATCTACTGATGCTTCCAATTATTGCAAGCATCAGTAGATGCTTCCAATAATTGAGCTATTTCTGTTATCCCAATTACACGGCCTGGGTGGTGACTAAGCCATTTGTCAGATTCATAGGCGAATTTGATATTCAAGGGTCCAAAAAAGTCACGATCTAAGGGTTGCATCTTGTGCGAAGTGTGTGGCGGTAGAGTCAAAAAGTGAATGCCATTACCACAGCAGAAATTGACTGCAGTCAATAGATGTGACTTGAGTGGTTGTCCGAAATAAGCAATACAGGATTATCTTTTGTTGGCTGAACATTATCTTTGAAATAGCGCAGGTAGTCTATAAACAAGTCGGTATTTATAAACCCAGAATCAGAAACCATTCCAATACTTTTCTCAGGTGCATCGTTTAATAGAAATCCTTGCATTCTCTTTCTAGGAAAGGTGGTAAGAAATTTTAGTTGCACTTATAGCACATACAAGAGTAATTGTTTGGCCTCTTTCTGCAGAAACGATTTTTCCTACTAGCTTCTTGCCATTTACTGATATCACCTTGGGGATTTTTTTGGTAATGTGCTGATACCGCTTTCATCCATATTGTATATACGACTGGGTGCGAAATTATGTTTCTTGTAAACGTCTTGTAGGTTGTCATGGAAAATGTTTACTTGGATCTTATTAAACCCCATCGCTCTGGCATTACTAGTCGGAGTCGGTTGTCGCAATTTCAATCCACTATATCTTTTAAGAAACCCGTACACCCAGTCAAGTCCAGCTAATTTTGTCGACGTATTGAACCGATGAGGTACTTTATTCAATTATGCATACTCATAAACTAATTTTCGAAGGCTTATCATAGTCAAACCATAATATAGATCATCACTTCGTTTCATATATTGATAAATTTCATCCTCCTGTGCCTTCGTAAATGTCGTAGAAAATCTTCCCATACTATCCGCTGTCCCAGCTTTCAAACGTTTTCGAAGGGTGCTTTCCGTTAGTCCAACTTGTTTTGCTGCTTTCAGCTTACTGGTACCCTTCGAAATTGATAATCTAGCAGCTTCAAGCTGATCATTTGTAACGACAGTTGTATCTGGAGCTTTCCTTTGGTAAATTCGAGGCATTTTTAATATTGAGACAAACCCTGAAACAAA